CGCAGGGCCTCGAACCTGTATTTCGTCGGCACCGCATCCACATACTGACATTCAAGGTCCTGAAAAGTGACGCCCGTACAGTTGGTGGGGAAGGAAAACCAAATGCCCATAGCGACGCCACGACTGCCTCCCCGTTCCTTCACCAGTAAGCAACAGCACAAACACTTGCCGCTCTGCAAGCCCTGCCAAGTTCCAATCCGGGCTCCAACAACACAAGGAGTCGGCCTCCGCATGAATAGCTCGGAATGATCTGCGGCATAGCAACAGCACCGACCACTGTCTCACCTGAAATGCATAGCCGTCTCGCAAGGACATCCAGCCATGCGGCAGAAAAGCTGCCAGCCGAGAATCCTGGAAGGACGACCGCGCCTGCCGGCGCATTAGTGGACGACCGGGACCGTCCGGGAGCCCTGCAATGGCCGCGAGGTCAGGAAACGAAGCCGTTCGGCAGATTGGCAGCATATTAGGCGACGAATGCGTTCGACAAGTTCGGCAGGCTGCAGTGTCACGAGCGAGGACCTCGGCAGGCTGCCGTGTCACAAGCAAGGACCTCGGCAGGCTGTCGTGCTTGTGAAGAACAAAGTCCTCTGGAACTCGGGAACTTGGCCGCTTTTGCGCACTTTTTCGGCCCAAAAGAGAGCGGTGACGAAGCGGTGACAAGTGGTGACGCCTGCTTTTCCGGGCAGAAAACGGAAATCGAGAGCTGCGAGAGCGTCTGGAGCTGTTTTCGACCGAAACCGAGCGAATCTAGAGGCTGAGACACCCCGCTTGCCGTCTGACAGGAAAAAACGAACTTTTCGGAGTTGGCTGTTTTGAGCGCTTTTTGCGCCAAAAACGGAGCGGTGACAAAGACCGGTGACATCGGAAAAACGTTCAGCAGGATGGAGAATTCCTGTTTTGCAGGGTTTTGCGACAAAAAAACCAAATAATTAGGTTGGTATAACTGCAGGCAATTCCCGAGGACAGGAGACCCCGAGGCCGGCGCCCTGGCAAGCAACGGTCAGGGCCCGCCCTCCATCACGGACCGCCTGCGCAGCACGGCCGACGGCGCGCAGGCGGCAGCGGACCTCGCAGGCGCAGGGGCAGCAGGGCTCGCAGCCGCGCAGGCCTTCCGCTCGCAGCTCCCCCAGGACGCAGCCAAGTACGTACGCTTGAACGTGCTGCCCCGCGCGGGCCCGCAGCCGCAGCCGCCGTCAGAAGACGGCAGCCGTGGGGGAGAGGTTGCTGTTGCCGCCAAGGGCACGTTGGCTGGCGCGGCAGGAGTCGGCGCAGCGGCACTGGCCGTGGGCCGACCCTCCCTACATCTTCCCCGGTCGTATCATGAACTACTACGGCATGAGGGGGCAGGGCCACGACCTGGCCTTCCTCCGAGACGCACTCTTTGCGAGCGGCTTGCCCTGTGTCGTGAGCATCAACGACGTGCCGAAGACTTGGGAGCTCCCCGGCAGGAAGCTTCTCTTCGCCTACCGGTATTGGCTCGGCACGGCCTCCAACTTCGTGGTGTACATGTCCGAGGCCGACAACGTCTACGACCCCCTGTACGGCAGCTTTGGGGACCAGGAGCACGGTCAACCCCGAACCTGCACTTCGAGGGCAGGAACGGTGGACGTCTACGGCCGCCAGATTCTGGACGCAACCCTGGAGGCCGGCAACACGACGGAGGTCGAGGCAGACACGGGCCTCGGCCCTGCTGCTGAAGCCACCCTGGGGGAGGTGCTGCTGGGTTCCACCCTGACCACACTGGGCAACTGGCACACCAACCACGGCGCGAGTCAGCCTCAGTCAGCTTCAGTCAGCTTAGGGAAGGGGGGATGGCGCGGGGCCTACACCGTCCACACACACACACCAGTCGGCTTTGGACAGGTTGGAGGTGTGTTGTTGCAACTTTGAAACAGAGCCATAACCGCAAATGACAAACGACGTCGCAGCGCGCAAGCACGATCCTTCTTCTCTCGATGCAACTATACCACGCGTTCGCCCCGAATAAAAGCTACGCTGCGGGCTCGTCCGCCTGCTTGCGCTTCTTGCCGCGGGCAGGGGCCTTGGACCCTGAGGCCTGCTCCAGAGCCTGCTTTTTCAGCGAGGCGTTGTGCATCCTCGCTTGCACTTTGGCCAACAGGTTGGTGAGGCAGTACATGCCTGCGCTCACTGAGGCGGCGGCAAAGCAAAGCAAGGACCGAAATGGAGTTTGCGACGAAACTCCATGGACTTGTGAAACTTCTGCAGCTCCTGCGCCAAAACCGGATTTTTTTAGGGTAGTATAAGCCTATGTTCCTGACTACTGTTCGCGATGTGTCTTTTCAGGAAGCCTCGCGCAAAACTGATTTTTTACGTTTAAAAATGAAAATCTGAGGCGGAGATTTTCGCAACGACGCACTTTGTGTTTCTTGAGGACGCCTCACGCATTTTTTGTGATCAAAACGCGTTTTGGAATGCAGGGCCGCTACGTCGGCGGAAGCCTTATGTCATTCAATCGGACCTCTGAAAACATGTGGCAGTTGTCGCAAAAAGTTGTCTTGCGCGCGACAGCTTACTGCGCTCTTGCTGCGGCGCTGCGCTGCTTTGATCTGCGCGTTGACGACTGGATTCCATGGCCAGCGCAGCATTCTGTGACACTCGCGTGCGTTTGTCGTGGCGCGCGCAGTATGTCGCGCGCTGATGCTGCGGGCTGCGTGGCAAGCGCGGCATTTTCAGCAGCAGGGTCTGCGACTTTCATGGCAGGGGCAGCGTTTCGCTCTTTTGCAAGCGTTGCAAGCCGAAACTGAACCCTCTGCGCGGATCGTGCGTGTCGAAGCGCTCTCGCTGCGGCGCCGTGCAAATGCTGCAAATGTGTCTTGAGCTCGCCGAACCCTGATCGCGCGCGTCGAAGCGCTCTCACTGTGGCGCCGCGCGAATGTGCCTCGAGCTTGGCGAGCCTTCTGCGGAGATCGTGCGCGTTGAAGCCTTTTCGCTGCGCCGTGCGAGTGTGTCTTGAGCTCGGCGAACCCTGATCGTGCGCGTCGAAGCGCTCTAGAAGCCTAGCTATCCGTTGCGCTATGGGGCCTTTGGGTGACAAGGCAGCCAGCAGAGCATGTCCTTGTTTCTGTGACATGTCATCGTTTCTGCGATGTCTTCGTTTCTCGTTTCTGCGTCATAAGTCACCGATTCCGAGACGTCATTGTTTCTGTGACAAAGCGATTCGGCCGATCGAGTTGTGAGTTCCTCCCCCCTTTTTATTACTGGTCCCATCTTGGCTTGAAGCAGTGAGCAGGATTCTAACAATGTTTGTCCTAGAGCTTCACTGGGAAGGCGATAGGTTGCTTGAGCAGCGCGTGAGGTTAGAGGTCCCATCATGAAATGCTTATGCAGGTGGTCGCTGGCTGCTATTTGCGCGACTGACGGACAAGGAGTTTAAGTTCAATTTCCTCGCTGGTGAAACACACGTGCACGAAGCACCGTCGTGTGTTTATTTGTTCAGGAAAAAAAACGCAATTCTGCCAAAGCGAGAGCTAACGGGAACTACCACCAGAGGCGTGCTTCGTGTCAAAGTTGCACACGGAAGGAGGCACGCAGTGCGTACTAATGCTTGCAATGACAACAAATCCTGTGAGTGGCTGCTAGCAGTGAAACTTACGATCCAAAGCAACCTCACCTCTCCTCGGAATCCAGATCAAATGTTGGCTCTCAGTGTCCCTTTGCAATTCCTCGATCGGAGATAAGTCCAAACCCCACGATCTATCATGACCAAGTTATGAGTGGCGATCGCATGTTTCAAAGATAAAGTGTGCTGATGCAAAATCATAAGTGTTTTCTATGCAAAATCACAAATTTTTCCTGCAGACCAAGCTGACATTGGTGCGATGGAATGTCATCTCTGCAACAAACAAATCCATTTTAAGCCCGACATGTATGGTCCAAGCAAGAACTGCCAACGACGAACTGGATACTGAGAATTTTTGTTGATGACGAAATTCACGGGATTGCAAAGGCAAAACACCTCGAGTTTGTTTCTAGGAGATCACTTGATTGCCAGCCCAATCAGCACACGCACGTGTCCAAAACTGGGTTCCAAGCCATGAGAACTACTTTGATAGGCTTGGGTGAGATAGCTTGGACTACAATGAAAACAAAACATATGAAAGCTAGACCTTGTAACAGAATGCCATGCAGGTCATCTTGGTACATGAAAAAGCGAGAAGGCCTTCACGTGGTGGTTTCATATGCAGAACACATTTTTCATTTGACAAATTTGAAGCAGCGGGCGCTGGAGCTCAGGCAGCAGGATCGCCAAGCAATGGGTTAAAGAAGCAATGCGTGCTGTTCTTCATTGCTACTTGTTGTGACGACTTCCCAAGGACAGTGATGAGACTTGGACGAACGGACATATGGCGTCACATTTTTTGCCGTCAGCGATTACTGTAAATACGACAGTCATTCAACAGATGGTGTTGCCAACTTGCATTTCAATGTATTTGCAACATATTGATATCCGGAAGAGTTTCGTTTACCTTTGAAGCTTTTGTGTTGGTTATTGCTTGTGTTGGTTACCAATGCTTGTCAACATGTGTGTTTCCACTGCTGGTCACCAAGGTTTGGCAGAGTGTCAGGAATCAGGTGAGGTGCAGTCACACTCCCAGGCACATGAGGCATCAGACATGCACATGCATGAGCACTGACTTTCACAGAGTCAAGACACTGATGATTTTTACCCGAAACAGCTGGCATGATTCTTTTCCGCTGACCTTCATCCGCAACGGTACTTCAACCATGAAACTGAAGTGGTTTGGAATGCTAAGTCTTGGACGTTACCCCCTTTTTGGAATGCCCGTTGGCATGGCGAGAGGCGAATGGGGACAGCTTTGCTTTGCTATACCAATAGCGGGATCTGGTTTTGATTCAAGACAGAACGACTCAGACATGGTTGATTTTCATTTTCTTTCTTTTCAACCACGAAACAAGGGCAGCGTAAAGAGCACACCCATCCAAGATTGCACCACCCCAGAAGAATAAAGACCCAGGTGTCTATTGAGACACAGCCACTTTCTAGCCACGAGTGATGGGCTGTTCCTCCTATGCGCCAGGCCTGGATGAAAATGCATGCTCATTGTTCAGCCGGCAAGCGCTCAGGCTGATTTTAACGTCCTCGTCCTGCAGGTTCCGAAGACGTGTACGGATGCTCTAAATATTGCAAGGGATCGCGGGCAAAGCTGTAACATATCACTATTTTCCAGGGTTTTGTTGGTTGGTTTACTTGCACCATTTAGGAGGTGAAGCAACGAGGACCGGGGACAACCATCATAAAGACATATAAACCATATGTTACTGTTCTAGTTCGTAGCTTTTACTTCTACCACAGCCATCGAGCACGATACTTGGCAGGCGGCTTTGATTGCGTACTTGATATGGTGGTTCCGCGCACCGCTCAAGCGATGGGCACTTGCGAGGCCGGCTGCTAGAATGTGCTTCCGTATTCGTTCCAAATGCTCGCAAGGTACCGCATTGCGATCGAAGCTTACCGGGAGGCTGGGCCAACACTGTTCTGAGGGTTTTTGTATGACACCCTGGGATTACACCCTCCCAGAATGGTGCAAAATAGCACGGTTTTATCCGGAAATGTGCCTAAATGGGGTCATTATCCAGTGGGTGTATTCCCAGGGCGCAAAAACAAAAACCCTTAGACCTGTGCGTTCATTTGATCTTACCAACAGTTGTTTGTCCCGCTTTGCGAACAGCAAGTGGCGATTCGGGAGGCTGGTTCCATTTGTGACGGTGATTGCTGTGGGTTGAGCCGACCTGCGCATGGTGCTTGCTATCCGAAGGCCCAGGAAAAAAGAAGACAAGCCGAAGAAAAGAAGGACCGTGCCGCCAACAGTCAGGCTTGTGTAAGTTGTTCGTTTCGCATTTGCTTCCAAGTTTGCAAGGAATGCAAGGATGATGTGGCAGTGCAAAAGGCCAGCAGTTGGAGGTTGCATTCGGACAAAATGTGATTGCTGAGCCAATCCGCGTAAGTCTGTGCGACTAGGAGGGCAAGGAGGCGAAGGCTGCCGTGGTCGATGAAGGCAATGAGCCTCCTTGTTTGGGCATGGAGCATTTTGATCTGCAGGAAAGAAGCAGCAAGCCGCTCGCCAGAGACGGCGACCAGCTGCCAAGTTGCAGGACATGTAGTTCGGCCCGTTGTTCATGTACCTCCAAACAGGCATAATTTGCGGGTTCAGCGGGGATGGTAACCCTCCTTGGAGGTCCACATGTGGTTCCGCGTTTCTTTCCGTCAGGATCTCAACGCCAAAGAACTGCTGGAAGTGGCGCCTGCCTTTGATATACCTTGTTTAGACCTTTATGGAAAGTGTCTGGTACTTCCCCGAAAAGTGCAGATCTCAAGTCCTTTCGAGGGAATCCTAGGATAGAAGCTGACCATGACGAGGTAATCCTTAATTGGTGGTTGGATCCGTTCGGGGAATGCTACCAATTCGACTCCAAACCATGAGGGAAGCTGATATCAAAGCCCTAGATAAATGCAAATGGGGTTGTGGGGGCTCATGACGAGGTAGGATTTGGCAATGGGACCACGGCCACGGCTAAGCCAGCTGACCAGACTGGCAGGGTTTGGACAACATGGGCGGAACAAGAGCCCCACCGGAGGTGTTCCGAAAAAGGGGGTTTACACGGTGTAAATCGGGGGTTGAGCCTGGGGATGAGCCTCTCCCGATGGCTTCCGCTTGTGATACCTGAGCTTAGGTGGCACCTGCGTCGAGCACCTCCAGCGAGGCTCCGGGAGCGGGCTGGCGGTTCCATTTCCGGCGGCTGTGCTTTCAGATCAGAACATGGAATTCAGGTGGCATATGTTCGCCCGCCAAACAGCAGTTCTGAAAGGATTGACACCTCCCAAAGGAATTCTGCACTCGCGGGCTCCAGCATGTGCCCCTGGGTTTAACATGCCATGCATGTTGCAGGTTGCACGTGGCTGGACTCTTGTATTTTGGCTGAAATTTATATTTGAATGGGCGTTCCGGTTGACCCTACTTTTGCTCGCGGCTTGAGCAACTTGAAGGTGTGCATTGCTTGAGTGAACATTTCTAAGCAGCCTGAACCAGGCAAAGACACGCGTGAGCTTTTGAGTTGCGAGGTCTGACTTTGCGTTCCAGTCATGGTTCTCCTGACACCGCAAGCTTTCATCTCAAGCCTTCCCAACGTAACCGTTGTGCCCTGATGTTGCGAATCATGGGCATTTTCCTGGCCATGCCACCGTTGAGCATCGACTATGTCGTCCAAGAGGCGGCGGATGCGAAACATCGAACAGATCACAACAAGTGCAACTCCAACTCCCCTGATGGTCGAATCTTTCTCTGTGGAGAGAGTTACAGGCACGTGCGGTACTTCAAGTTTGAAAACCTCAGCTTCACGGAAGGGCTGCCTCGCTTCGACGATGGTGCTTGGTCTTTGTGGAAGAAAGACTTGCAGATCAGGTGGCCTTGGAGAGCTTCCTGGTGCTTCCCCAATTGGAAGAAGCCGTTTGAGGTGCTTCCCAACGGGAATCACTTGTATGCCATGTACAGCAACAGCGACCAATGGCGACATTGGCTGAATGTAACTGTTGGAAACCCAATGACGCCAGAGGCTGAGATTGTGGATGTGGTGCAAGGCGACTATCAGCGCATGTCCAACAAACTTCCGCGGTACGGATACCATACAGGCGCGCACATGTGACCCAAACAGATCTCACAAACTTCATAAAGGTCCCTTTAAGGTTTTCGAGTTTTAAGATGTGAACTTGGGTCTCGAAGCAATGCCAGTTTCGTCACAAAGAGTGAACTTCTCCAGCGGTGCGTCCGGGAATTTGGTCTACACGGCGTTGCCGGCAGATGGGGAGCCCTGCGGTTTGGACTTTCCCCCATTCCGTCCCCTTCGGGAGATTGTCACGGACCTTGATGGCCTTGATTTGCCCAAGCGCTATCCATTTGCCAGGCATCCAATGAAAAATGACCTGGGCGTGCCATTCTCAGCCACGAATCCACAGCCAGGGACTTATGTTTGGCTTGATCTCGAAGGCCGCAATGTTTGGTACGGAGGAGAAGGGGGCGTTTACAAAGTGATCGGTGAAGATACTGGTGGTATGGAGATCTTCATGGATAGTGGCTTCAACCAAGAGGGTTCGCGGAAAAGGTACATGCGACTTGGGGCAAATTAAATCCGCTTTTGTACGCGTTCACTATGTTTGGGAATGATATGATGCCATGACGCGATGGGAGTGATCCCTCCTCGTCAGAATGGCAGCCGGCTTGAGACGGCCATGATGATTTCCAATACAATGCTTCATTTTTTTTCTTCTCCATGTAGAAGCGAACTTGTAGCGAGCTCAAAGTAAGTTTATTTCACCAGGTCATCATTGCTCTGGAACTATGAGTCCGAGCGAACTGCAGCACATCGCTTTCCAGGAGAGCTGCACACCAGTGGGGTTGGCAGTGGCGCCAACTACCAGCTTCCGATGTCAAAGGGCCACCATGTGTTGCCCATGTTTGCAGCTTGGGATGAGTACTATGCAGAGGCACCGCTCAAGATCCCCATTGGACCGCAGGTTTTGGTCCATGTTGGTCCATGTTTCCATTTACCAGGGCAACCCATTTTTTGGGTTACCCAGTTTTGAGAGCCACTGCCAAATTGAAGGATGAAACGTTAGGAGTGCGTCTTTGGTGCTCTGCCAGCGCAGGTGGAGCTCTTTAACGCGTGGAAGTCTCCTCATTGGGACATCATGTTCCTGCCAATGACTAACGCATACTGGCGGGGAGATGGAGCCCAAAACTATCAGATGATTCCAGACCTCTCCAGGCATTTCCTCTTAGGTGAGATGAAAGGCCAATGCGGCTCCCACATGAACGACACCACGGATGCTCCCACAGTCGCCCAAGGCGTCGGAAGTTCCATGCAATTCGATTCAGGCCAGGGCCAAGACTTGGCAAATGAAAGCTGTTCCAAAGATTTGGGTATGGGTCAAAATTAAACCACCGGAGGACCGCAGGTTTTAGTGCTTATTTCACTTATGTCCATTTTGGCGAGGGTTTCATTTTCGGGTTGCCATATTTGGGACAACCACACCCTTGTGGCGTTTGCGGCCGTGAAAGGTCCAGAATTCCTGTCTTGAGGTAATGGTGCTGTGGTTGTGGACCTTTCCCACGCAGTGGATGTGCCTGGAGTGAGCTCTCCAGTCCGCGCCTTCACGGCACAGCTGGCCTTCGAAACTCAGTTGTTTAGTGGCACTTTTTTTTTCTTCTTCTTTTTTTCTCTGGCTGCCCCACTAAGAATGGTCTTCCCCAAAAAGGGTTCATTTTTTCCAATTTCATTGAACAACTGAGGAAACGTTCTGGTCTGGAGCGTGGAGAGGGCGATGGTTGCTACACCATCCCAACATCGCTTTGAGCTTCTCTAGAGGTGACATCACTTGGACCTTCCATGGTCAAGCGGTGCACGGAGGACATTACAAGACCAGCGAGTGGGTTCACCTCGCTCTGGTTTTCGATGGCCTTGACCAGACTGTGACGAGCTACGCGAACGGCGTTGAGATTGTTACCGAGCCGACTTCCTTTAACACCTTCCAGCTTGGCACTGAGTATCCCCTCATCATCGGCAACGACAATGAAGATCCTTCTGTTGGTATGGGACTTGCTGGCCGGATTGATAATGTGCGGCTTATGGCCCACGCTCGCTCTCAAAGAAATGTGTGCAAGAGCGCTTTCGGAAGTGATTGTGGGAGTGCCATCTCCTATCATCCCACCAGCAGCCAGTATGAACTCTCAATGCAAATTCGAGAGTGCTCCGCAGCTTCCATGCACACCCTGGCATGCACTTCAGCCATTCATCGAGTTTGTGCCAATCTCGATGCTATGAAGCAAAAGGGAGCCGGTGTCAGTAATGATGCCTTGGGAGCACTTACTCCGCCTGGGCCTCCAGTGTCAATGGGTGGAGTGGTTGTGGCTCTTGATGCGGCAACCGTGGACGTTGCATGCACGCCACATGACAGCCACTTGTCTGTCCCGGTGGATTGGTGGACCATGGAGAAGCATCATCAGAACTGCACGCACATGACGAATCATTCCTCTGTGGCTCTCTTCTGCAACTTGGCTTCGCATGGCTTCTGCGTGGAAGCTGCTTCTCACCTCAATCCCCGATTGACCACCGGCATCATTTTCGAGGCAGATGCTCGCGCCTGGGTCACTTGCTTTGAAGCAACGGAAGTCTTCTTTGCTGTGACCCCGGGATGCACCACGGATTTGACTTCTACCTCTTGCCAAGTGGAAGTGTCTGCCCTTTGTTCAGCCAAGGGTAGTGACGGAGGAGTAGTCCAGGCAGTGGCTGAGCAATTGGAGGTGCATTGTTTCAAGGCTCCGTCCGAATTGGGCGCCCACAAGTTCGTCATCTAAGACTCGGGCTCCGAGACCTTCCCACCGCCAAATGTTTTGTGGCGGGCCCCGGCCAAAGTAACTGTTGGACCGAGGCTCGAATATGATTCCACCTGACCTGAGGCCTACCGAGGGCATTGATACCTATGTAGGTGTGGTATGCCGGTGGACTATTTTGGCTCCCTTGAGCAACTGTGCAGGCGAGTGAATATTCGTAAGCAGCCCGAGCCAGTCAAAGACACGAGTGAGCTTTTGAGTTGCCAGTGACTTTGCGTTCCAATCATGGTTCGCCTGACGCAAGCTTTCATCTCAAACCTTCCCAACGCAACCGTTGTGCCCTGATGTTGCGAATCATGGGCATTTTCCTGGCCATGCCAATGGCAGTCCGAGCCACAGCCGGGACTTGCGGCTTGGATTCGGCATGCGCTTCTGCAAGCGCAAGCAGCAAAGCCTTGCTTCAGCGCTCCATGAGGAGCGACGATGCCAACGCTCTGGAGACGGCAAGGGAGAGCTCTTCTTTCGTGCAGCCTCCTCCCCGACATGAGCTTTGGAACATGCAGCTCCCGTTGAGCACCGACTATGTCGTCCAAGAGGCGGCGGATGCGAAACATCGAACAGATCACAACAAGTGCAACTCCAACTCCCCTGATGGTCGAATCTTTCTCTGTGGAGAGAGTTACAGGCACGTGCGCTACTTCAAGTTCGAAAACCTCAGCTTCACGGAAGGGCTGCCTCGCTTCGACGATGGTGCTTGGTCTTTGTGGAAGAAAGACTTGCAGATCTGGTGGCCTTGGAGCTTCCTTGTGCTTCCCCAATTGGAAGAAGCCGTTTGAGGTGCTTCCTAACGGGAATCACTTGTATGCCATGTACAGCAACAGCGACCAATGGCGAAATTGGCTGAATGTCACCGTTGCAAACCCAATGACGCCAGAGGCTGAGATTGTGGATGTGGTGCAAGGCGACTATCAGCGCATGTCCAACAAACTTCCGCGGTACGGATACCACACAGGCGCGCACATGTGACCCAAACAGATCTCACAAACTTCATAAAGGTCCCTTTAAGGTTTTCGAGTTTTAAGATGTGAACTTGGGTCTCGAAGCAATGCCAGTTTCGTCACAAGTGTCACATGGATCCTGTGAGAATCCTGAGAGGTGATGGCTTGCTCTATATTGGCAGCAACATCTCCAGCGGTGCGTCCGGGAATTTGGTCTACACGGCGTTGCCGGCAGATGGGGAGCCCTGCGGTTTGGACTTTCCCCCATTCCGTCCCCTTCGGGAGATTGTCACGGACCTTGATGGCCTTGATTTGCCCAAGCGCTATCCATTTGCCAGGCATCCAATGAAAAATGACCTGGGCGTGCCATTCTCAGCCACGAATCCACAGCCAGGGACTTATGTTTGGCTTGATCTCGAAGGCCGCAATGTTTGGTACGGAGGAGAAGGGGGCGTTTACAAAGTGATCGGTGAAGATACTGGTGGTATGGAGATCTTCATGGATAGTGGCTTCAACCAAGAGGGTTCGCGGAAAAGGTACATGCGACTTGGGGCAAATTAAATCCGCTTTTGTACGTGTTCACTATGTTTGGGAATGATATGATGCCATGACAATGATGTCATCGCGATGGGAGTGATCCCTCCTCGTCAGAATGGCAGCCGGCTTGAGACGGCCATGATGATTTCCAATACAATGCTTCTTTTTTTTTTTCTTCTCCATGTAGAAGCGAACTTGTAGCTAGCTCAAAGTAAGTTTATTTCACCAGGTCATCATTGCTCTGGAACTATGAGTCCGAGCGAACTGCAGCACATCGCTTTCCAGGAGAGCTGCACACCAGTGGGGTTGGCAGTGGCGCCAACTACCAGCTTCCGATGTCAAAGGGCCACCATGTGTTGCCCATGTTTGCAGCTTGGGATGAGTACTATGCAGAGGCACCGCTCAAGATCCCCATTGGACCGCAGGTTTTGGTCCATGTTGGTCCATGTTTCCATTTACCAGGGCAACCCATTTTTTGGGTTACCCAGTTTTGAGAGCCACAGCCAAATTGAAGGATGAAACGTTATGAGTAGCTGCGTCTTTGGTGCTCTGCCAGCGCAGGTGGAGCTCTTTAACTAACGCATACTGGCGGGGAGATGGAGCCCAAAACTATCAGATGATTCCAGACCTCTCCAGGCATTTCCTCTTAGGTGAGATGAAAGGCCAATGCGGCTCCCACATGAACGACACCACGGATGCTCCCACAGTCGCCCAAGGCATCGGAAGTTCCATGCAATTCGATTCAGGCCAGGGCCAAGACTTGGCAAATGAAAGCTGTTCCAAAGATTTGGGTATGGGTCAAAATTAAACCACCGGAGGACCGCAGGTTTTAGTGCTTATTTCACTTATGTCCATTTTGGCGAGGGTTTCATTTTCGGGTTGCCATATTTGGGACAACCACACCCTTGTGGCGTTTGCGGCCGTGAAAGGTCCAGAATTCCTGTCTTGAGGTAATGGTGCTGTGGTTGTGGACCTTTCCCACGCAGTGGATGTGCCTGGAGTGAGCTCTCCAGTTCGCGCCTTCACGGCACAGCTGGCCTTCGAAACTCAGTTGTTTAGTGGCACCCTTTTTCAGTTTTTGTTTTTTCTTCTTCTTTTTTTTTCTGGCTGCCCCACTAAAAATGGTCTTCCCCAAAAAGGGTTCCTTTTTTTCCAGTTTCATTGAACAACTGAGGAAACGTTCTGGTCTGGAGCGTGGAGCAGGCGATGGTTGCTACACCATCCCAACATCGCTTTGAGCTTCTCGAAAGGTGACATCACTTGGACCTTCCATGGTCAAGCGGTGCACGGAGGACATTACAAGACCCGCGAGTGGGTTCACCTCGCTCTGGTTTTCGATGGCCTTGACCAGACTGTGACGAGCTACGCGAACGGCGTTGAGATTGTTACCGAGCCGACTTCCTTTAACACCTTCCAGCTTGGCACTGAGTATCCCCTCATCATCGGCAACGACAATGAAGATCCTTCTGTTGGTATGGGACTTACTGGCCGGATTGATAATGTGCGGCTTATGGCCCACGCTCGCTCTCAAAGAGATGTGTGCAAGAGCGCTTTCGGAAGTGATTGTGGGAGTGCCATCTCCTATCATCCCACCAGCACCCAGTATGAACTCTCAATGCAAATTCGAGAGTGCTCCGCAGCTTCCATGCACACCCTGGCATGCACTGCCAATCTCGATGCTATGAAGCAAAAGGGAGCCGGTGTCAGTAATGATGCCTTGGGAGCACTTACTCCGCCTGGGCCTCCAGTGTCAATGGGTGGAGTGGTTGTGGCTCTTGATGCGGCAACCGTGGACGTTGCATGCACGCCACATGACAGCCACTTGTCTGTCCCGGTGGATTGGTGGACCATGGAGAAGCATCATCAGAACTGCACGCACATGACGAATCATTCCTCTGTGGCTCTCTTCTGCAACTTGGCTTCGCATGGCTTCTGCGTGGAAGCTGCTTCTCACCTCAATCCCCGATTGACCACCGGCATCATTTTCGAGGCAGATGCTCGCGCCTGGGTCACTTGCTTTGAAGCAACGGAAGTCTTCTTTGCTGTGACCCCGGGATGCACCACGGATTTGACTTTCACCTCTTGCCACGTGGAAGTGTCTGCCCTTTGTTCAGCCAGGGGTAGTGACGGAGGAGTAGTCCAGGCAGTGGCTGAGCAATTGGAGGTGCATTGTTTCAAGGCTCCGTCCGAATTGGGCGCCCACAAGTTCGTCATCTAAGACTCGGGCTCCGAGACCTTCCCACCGCCAAATGTTTTGTGGCGGGCCCCGGCCAAAGTAACTGTTGGACCGAGGCTCGAATATGATTCCACCTGACCTGAGGCCTACCGAGGGCATTGATACCTATGTAGGTGTGGTATGCCGGTGGACTATTTTGGCTCCCTTGAGCAACTGTGCAGGCGAGTGAATATTCGTAAGCAGCCCGAGCCAGTCAAAGACACGAGTGAGCTTTTGAGTTGCCAGTTCTGACTTTGCGTTCCAGTCATGGTTCGCCTGACGGAGCAAGCTTTCATCTCAAACTTTCCCAATCAAACCGGACCCATCCCAAAAGTGGTTGGTGGACATGAATGGTGCCTTCTTACACTTCATACCCACCGATTTTTGGTCTTTGCTTAGAGCAACACTCATTTGCTTTCCCAGGTCGACCTGCACGCGCCTGACGAAGACGAAGCGACTCCCCACGACAGTCATCAAGGCATTTGTGAAACCGGCTTGCCCGTTCACAAGTATCAAGGCGGAAGATCTGATTTGGGAGATATGCACCACCCGATGATGACTCTCCTGTACAGATACCAACAAACAATGGTTTTTCCCGTGGTTTCATATATCGTGGTGCGAGCTGATTGTGTTCATCCACAGCATGCTTTGGGATGTCTGGCTGGTTCGAGGGTTGGGGACCTGGTAGGGACCTTCCCAAACTCGCGTTTTGATATTGGCAGCTGGGCAGCTTTCGTTTTTTATTTATTTATTTTTTTTTTTTTTTTAACGGAGGCGATGGCGAAGATCGATCCTGGGCTGAATCGTCGCAGTTCTGGAGCTTGACATTTTTGCGCGCGCATTGTGTGTGTGTGAGCGTGAGTTCAACTTTGACGCTATTTGTTGCAGTCGCGTACAGGGGGGGGCAGGCCGGTGGTGGTGACCTGTGCCAACGAAGCTAGCCATCCGCGTGTACCTGCGCCGCGATACAAGGTCTATTTGGTCCCCCCCATGAATTGCTGTTGCTTCTGTCTTTTGAAGGCAGCAGAGGGAAGCCAGTGCATTCGCCACTCGAACGTGTGGACTCGATTCATGGTTTCTCGCACGTCAGACGTTTTTGTATTTGGGAGTCATTGAAGCGTGTTGCACCCCGTTAGGGGGACCCTCGGGTGTAGCCATTGTGTGATCGGGGCGCCTTTGGCGTTTTCCGTGGCCTTAGTCAGTTGACTTGTACTCGGTTGTTGCCGCTTGGTTTGACTAATGGACTTGAGTGGTATGATGTGCTTGCTCCCTTGATTGCATTCATGGTGCTCGCAAGCGTTTTGTGATCAGTGCTCAGACGGGCAATCAACCTGCCTCGATGTAGCAGTCGTGAACGCTTTCGGTGTCGTCACCATTGTCCACGGCGGCGCCGATCAGCCACTACTCCACCTCGCCGACCTCATCGTGAGTCCGGACGTGATCTCACCTATGACCAGAACGCCGCCTGTCACCACCGACTTCATCGCCAGTGACCAACACGGTCACATGACAACATAATTGTCGCAGGGCCAGACGAAGTCGCATCGATCATCCTCTTCGTTGCTCTCAGTCTTGTCCACGCAGCAAGCTGCTCCCGGTTTTTACAACTTTAGACTTCCTGACCGTGTGGCTTCAATCCCCCGCGCACGGGACATCGGCTTTGCTGACATGCAGTTGGAGGACATCCGCCTCAGCAGTTGGCTTCTTCGACCATTGAGCCAAGGCAGGTTTGTCTACACCAGTGGGTTCTCGCGAATCGGGGTTCTTTCCCATCACTATCTTTACCCAAAGCCCGCGTCGTGGGAGACTGGCCGACCAATCATATACCCATAGCCGCTGGCAGAGGCACTGGGCTCGCCACGCGGCCTTCCCGCGTGCGTGCTACAATATCAGTCATGACCAGGTCCTTCACGCCCATTGTTACGCCGTCGTCGTTTCGCAATCGATGAACTATTCCTAGGTGTTGACGGTGAGCTTTTGAATGCCTCTGGGAAGGACCCGTTCTATCAGGTTGCGAAGTTGTTTTGTACTAATCTGAGGCGCGAGCTCAAGCTCCTCGCGAAGTGCTGGAACATCATGAATACGACCTTCATCAATGACTCGTTTTGCTTTGTTGACACGCTTCTATCCAAACAAGACGCGCGGCTTCCTCTTTCACGACCTTGGGGATATCGCCGGCTGACCACTGCCCTCCTTGCGTACACATCATGTGTCCTACACTCTTCTTTCTTCTTCTGCATAGGATGTTCTGCGCAGGAGAAGTGTTCACATTGTGCCGACAACACGCTGCCTCACTCCTGCCAACGTGTTGCGTTCCATTCCGGGGTTCAAGCAACCTGATCCCTTGCCTTCAGCCTGTATTCTCCCCAAGCCCACCAAGGACTGGCAGAAGGCTCGTCCATTCATTATCTTCTTTCGAACATGGGCAGCGCCACTTCTTCGGCGCCATTTGTTGCAGTTATGTGTCTGGAGTGGGCGCAGGCCCATGGTGGCGACCTGTGCCAACGAAGCTAGCCACCATGGGGGGAAGCGCGGACTGATCATCCGCGTGTACCTGCACCGACGTCAGAAATCTTTGTGGGAGTCATTTAAGTGTGCGTGTGTGTGTGTGTGCGCGCTCCCTGCAGCGGTGCCCTCATGTGGGGACAGCCATTTTGATGTTCTTCAAGTTGGCATTTGTTGCGCCAAATCTGTATGGATTCTCAGGACCGAAGGGATCGTTGCTGTCAAGAACCTCCGAGGCGCTTTGACGGGCAGAAATGCCTTTAGGGATCTCAGACACGCAAAGATTGTGACCAGGTTGGCTTAGGTTGGTAGAGTACCATGGCGGCGGGTTTTCGGGCGCGGAGATTCCTAAGCGAGCTCAGGGTTTACAACAGATTTGGCAGGTGTCGATTATGCACGAGCTTCGACCTGGCAAGGCGGGCATGAAGTCTGTGACTTTTGTGGCAAGGCAGTTGGATGGACTCGGCCTCTCAGAATTGCTTTGGGGTAGGCAACCCACTTTAAGCCATCCGGTTTGAGGGGAACAATGAGGATGTCACTGAAATGGGTGCAACCGGCTAGACTGCACGGCAGGGTGATGAGGCTGTGCTGGCAGCTGTCCAGTTGGCCTTCTCAGAGCTCTGCAGCTGCAACTTGTCAGCCTGCCAGGATTCTTGGAGTTGATTCCTCTTTCTTTTTCAACCAGCGTTTTTTTCAAGGATTGGGTCTTTTTTTTTCCAGATAGCTGAAAGCTGCAGGGGTTCTAACTTCTGATAATGAGGGGAAAGTGATTTGCAAGATTGACGGTGTGGGCGCATGTCTGCGAGATTGACGGCCGAGTGCTGGGGGGCATGCTGCATGCTGTTTGCAGGTGCTGTTTAAGGTGCTGGTGATGGTGTGGGCGAAGTTTGGCAAGATTGACGGTCGGGTGCTAGGGGGCATGCAGCTTGGGGTGCTTGTGCAGGTGCTGTTTGAGGTGGTGGTGACGGTGTGGGCACATATTTTTGCGAGATCGACGGCTGGGTGCTAGGGGGCATGCAGTTTGCGTTGCTGGTGCAGGTGCTGTGTGAGGTGCTGGTGACGGTGTGGGCGCATTTTTATTAGTTTAGTGGAGGTGCTGTTGGAGGTACTCGGCCGGGTTGAAAGCAGTTTGGGGTGCTGGTGCAGGTGCTGTTGGAGGTGCTTGTGACCCGGGTGATAGGGGGCATGCAGTTTGAGGTGCTGGTGCACGTGCTGTCAGACGCTGGTGACGGTGGGTGCATCATTGCGAGATTGGCGGGGGCATTTTTGCGACAGTGATGGCCGGGCTGGGGGGGGGGGGATGGGGGTGCTGATGCAGGTCCTGCTTTGGGGTGCTGTTTGGGGCAGGAAGCCCCTCGATAGATCCTGCCCCTTTTCAAAGTGTCCTTTCAACCTGTGCCAATCTTCAAGCACCTATGCTTTCAGGTTTTTGTTCTTTCAATTCCGCACCAGGAAGCCTCTCAATTCTACACCCAGAAGTGTCCCTGAATTTGATATGATCTGGCCAACGAGCAGTGTGCAATCCTCGACCTAATATGTGCTATTTGGGGTCTATGCTGGTGAAATTATGGTATCCCTAGGATGATCACCCTCTTTCCAACCCTCTTTCCACCAGTCACGGAAGCTTATTAGAACCATGCTAGTCCTACCAAACTCTGCTGCGCACTTCCAACCTTGTCTTGGAAATAGGGTCAGCAGCAAAAGTGATTCCAAATTCTCCATCAATGTGTCTATGGCAGGTGGAGTACCTGCAAACAACATCGGTTGAAGGTGTCCAGCTGTGTGCGCTGCCTGGACCCAAGCGACCGAAGCGTCGGCACCCCACCTACGACTGGTCCTGCCTGTGCCAAGGGACTGGCTCTGACTGGGAGGCCTGGGAAAGCGCCCCTCGAGCCCTGGTTTATGTATCACCAAAATGCCGGTGGCTTTGGTAAGTCACCAAAAGTGCACTCCCCCCCAAAAAAAACAACATAAAAGGAACCTGGGCCCGAAAACACGGAAGCCATGCGTATTCTGGGCGAACTCTTTTGGTTTGGATGCCCTTTTCGAGCACGGTATGTGCCAGGCTGTTGGGATTCTGCTCTACCGGCTGGAGCCACACCTGCTGCAGGCAGCTGATGCGACCACGGGCAGGGTGATGCTAAGATCGGGGTCTTGCTTGGCCAAAAAATTCGGGAGGAGGAAAGTTTTACTCTCTTAGAGCGGTGTAACAAAAGCAGCCTCTAGGGTCAATTCGGTCAGATTTGTGGGTGGCCCCGGAGAGCGGCCTTTGTAGAAGTTCACATTTGTTTCACTTCCTCGAGCATCCATAGGCCTCCAGCCGGACTCCAGCCCCAGGGTTCGTTGAAGTGGGCGCGGCCTTGATGCACTCCAACAACATTTGCCTCAACACCCGCCTTCGGAAGAATCATATCAGCGCATCATACTAGTTGGACTACTACTTTGCTGTCACCCACCAGCTTCAGATCACTGTGGCAACCGTTGCCTGAGGCTGCGTGAGGAAACCACAAACACTGAAGTTTATTGTGACTTCTTTGGCCAATGCCAAGGAGTTGTTCAGAAGGAGCACCCATGGAGATGCGTGGAAGGTCCAGACTTGACCAACTGTCTACACCATTTCTCTGGTTGTGCAATTTCTGGCTTGCTGTCAGGTTGTGTTCCTCGGCGTGCTACCCGCTTACCGGCGTCAGCATGTCGGACGTGCACTGGTGCGCCTCGTGGACGACTCATGTCTTGGGCATTCCGACCGCCTGTGTAGGTGAAGGCCCTGCGGGAGCTTGCCAGGCAAGACCGCAAGGGTCCCGGAGTCCCGAACCCTCTGGTGGACGTGGAGGGGATTCATGTTCACCAAGCAGTTTTGAAACTGCTCGTGCGAACACATTGACATGATTTTTCCCAAACGCGCTTTCGAGCTGGTTCCCTACTAACATCCATGGCCAAGGGACCGAGGACCAGCTTGCGTGCTTTGAGTTTTGATCGCAGGCGAGATCCCAACTGCATGAGCATCATGGCGGTGGTTCCAGAGCATGCAGAGGCTGCCAAGCGGTTCTGGGTGTGCGCTTTGATAAAGCCCCGGTAGATAAAAAGACCCCTGCCTTGTCACCAAAGAGACAAAAGAACAGATTGAATGATTGAAGGGCGGCTCGAAAACCGCAGATTGATGTGTGGGGATCGGAGCTATGCGTCAGCCACAGCTGTTTGGAGGTTTGCTCGTGCGGGCGGAGTTTTGTGACAGGCTGTCCACTTCTTCAAAGCCGCTGGCTTCAAGAGAAGTGAGCCCGGAGGAGAACACCAGGCGTGGGGCTGGGATCTGCAGAGAATCTGCGCGCAGATGCAGGTCATGCGGATTGACCTCAGGCGGCTTAAGAGCTCGAGGCTCACTTTGGCCCATTTCCGCGGCGCGAGCATCAGGTGCGAAGCTCATCGTTGATCTGAGGCCAAAAGAAGCAACTGGAAGAGTCGCTTGCCAAGTTGTCATGTTGCTATCAGAGTGACGTTTCTGGGGGATATTGCCATGATTTGTTCAAACGTGTCCAACTAGAGATACAGCGTGGCTGAACATGCCCAGGCTTTCTTCCGATTCCGGTTCAGGCGCGTGGGGTTTGCAGGTCGCGTTTCGCATTTGTCTCAAAGGGTCGATTGTTTTCTGAAGAATTCGCCCAGTGTGCGCTTGGACGTCAGGCAGACATCTCCTTCTATGGGAGCAGGTTGTAGCGCAGGCTGGTGCGCAGACTCATCTTCATGGCTGTGCATGGAATTGCGATGTTCTCGAACGTGTTGGGATGCAGCTGGCTGTTGTCTGAATTGAATGGCACATGCATGGCATTGTATGTGACGTGGCCTCATGCTGGCTCAGACAGAGCGAACAGGCAAAAACAGACTTACATCACAGCAAATAGGACAAAGTTTTACTCGCCCAGATGTCAAGAATGTATTGAGCGTCAATTGGCTGCAACTTTAAAGACGGAACCTCAAACATCTAAAGATTTGGGAGTCCTGGCAAAGAAACCTAGATTGCGTGACAGCTTGGTGGCTGGCTTACTCGCTTACTCGCTCTCATCCAATTGCTTTTGCACGGCTGATTAACGAGAATTGCTTTCGACAGTGACCCAGCACCCTCATCGTGATCGGTTTTTTGGGCTGAGTTTGGCCATCGGCCTGCAACAAATCCTGCTCTGTCCAGGTTTCTTCAACCGGGCGCGGATCATTTGGGTGTTTCTCCAAGAATTTGGACCTTTGGGTCTGGTTTCGAAAATTCGGCCAACGGGACTTCACGAGACACCAGCCACGTGGCGCATTCCGACGACCCGAGGTCTGGTGACACCTCGATGGCGGTGGACCCTGCGAGATGCCCAGCGGCTCGGAAGTGTCTTTTTGCTCTATGGCAAGGCCGCGCCGAATTTGGGAATATAGGTGTCCTTTTTGGGTGGCTTGGTTAAAAAATAGAGGGCCCTGGTGTACCCGGTGGTTCAATCATCTACCAGGGCCATCCATTTTCTAGAAAGGACACCTATGATTGGGGCATCCTTCTTTGTTTGCCGGCAGGATCTCATTTTTTGCCGGGCATGCTCCGTCTGCATTTTTTTGCAAAGCGACCCTGGAAGCGGCTGACTTTGAGCTGACGTTTGGCTGAAGCGCTTGCTTGAGCATGTTTAGCGTCGATGTAGACCACATGTTCATTGTCAATTGCAGAAGTCTATGTTCAATTTGGGAGTGGCATGGGGGGCTCTTCAATTGTCAACTAGAACCAGACGAAGCCCCAATCTTCCCATATCCAATACAGGAGCTGCATGTTGTGACGGTGGCTGGATGATGGATGGACGTTCACTCCCCGGAGTTTTTGGCCACGCTTTCGCTGGCCTTCGATGAATTTGGCAAGAGCAAGAAGAAGAAGAAAGCCCCATGCCGCGTGCGTCCCCGGAAGATGCCCAAATCGAGGCCTGACTCCTGCGGACGCGCCTTGTGTTTTCTGATGCTTTGCTTCATTGCCTTTCAAGCAGACGGCATGTACAGAGCCATTCCCTGGTATGGCTTTGATCCTGGTGCCACGCTGGCAGTGCAGCTCATGTTCGGCGCTGTCGTGCTTTTTGTCCTGGTGCTCTACGCATGCGCCAGTCTGATAGATCCCGGCAGACCCCAAGCGCATGCTGCGGGTGCTGGCGATTCTGTCCGCTGGTGCAACTTCTGCATGGCCCCAAAGCCGGAGCGATGCCATCATTGTACCTCGGGTTGCCCTTTGTACGAACTTTACCTTCTTGCCGTTTGGACAAGTAGCCCTACTTTACCACAGAAAAGCAACACAGGGTGTCAAACACTAACTTTTAACCATTCGCAAAAAGGCAACCTTTTTTCAACTAATCAACAGAAAAGCAACTTTATGAGGGTCAATGGGTCACGGACCAAGGTACAAGATGTTGCCGCTGCGTGCTGCGGATGGATCATCACTGCGTGTTCACGAATTCCTGCATCGGTCTGCGTAATCAGCCGTGTTTCCTCATGTTCCTGGCCGTGACGGCCTTCGGCGCTCTGCTGGTTGCGCTTGCATCCGCTCCGAAACTGGCAGTCATGGTTTTGAGCGGGGCTGAGCTTCTTGAGATTGGTCACGTCAGCCTTCTGTGCGTCTCGGCAATGACTGCGGTGGCGCTTTTGTGGAATCTACTCCTTGCCCAATTGCACGGCTTGCTCCGAAACGAGACGGCCATAGAGAGTAAGGTCAACTGGGCAGAGAGACGTGGCAGCCCTTACGATCGCGGGTGCGCCGCGAACGTGAGGGAGGTCTTCAGGTGTGCCTTCTGCGTCCCTGGCTTTGTTTGGAACATCTTGGATGGCTTGGACCACTTTTTGTCCTCGGAGGAATAGAAATTGCGGGCTACAAAAGAAGACATGTGGCACAGCAGATGGTCGGCTTCTTTGGGACTGGGAGTTCAGGTCCAAACCGACACCTCATATCGCTGGGCCTCCGTCAGAGCAAAACATCCTCAAGTGCCGCAACAGCACCAGCATGGGTTTGTCTCACAGGGGACAACCCAAGAAAGATTGGCTTACAGAAACCATTTCCCTTGAAACCAACCAGTACCCAGCCTTAAACCAATTGACACACCCGTATGGCCTTTCCTTGGTGTTAACGGCAACACACAGGGGTGGAATTGGTCCATTTGCCGAAATTCGGCGAGGGACTCTTGCCACATTGCTTGACCATTTGGGGGTTGGCTACTTTGGGCTTGAAGTAAACATCTTAAGGGTTCTTAACCAGTCTTGGGGAGTGGTTTTTTCTTTGGGCTAAGAGGGCAGTCTGGACCAATTCGTCATCCATCATCCAGTGCCTTTCATGGACCCCATTGGCCATGATTTTTTCATTTGGAAACCACCAACCACAAGTGGTTGGCGGGCATGAATCCCCACCCAAATTGGATGTTTGCCATTTCGTGTCCCTAGAACATGGTTGTGTTGTGTTCCTTTGGTTTGAACCAGCCACAGGACCCATCACCTATCACCCGGTCACTGTAAAGTACCCATTTTTCAATTCGAGGAAAGCTGGGCGAATCGTGGCCTGAGGCGGCTGTGTTGGACATCCGCCGTACGCTCGGTCCTGGCTTCAAGATCGCCATCCTGGGTGGGGAAGGCGGACAGTTTTTTTTCGCAGAGCCCGAGAAATCGGTTTACTTTGGCTTTCCTCTTAAAGAACCCCAAAACACATGCCCCGAACGCTACGAAATGTAAAATGAACAGCTGGCAAGATACCGCAGCATTGGCGGAGCGACACCCCGACCGTCTACAGCGCTGTGCATTGTTGGAGGGTACCCGTTCATGTTTGGAGTAAAGGAAAGCCAAAAGGAGAGCCACCGTTTTGGAGTTCCCCTATTTTGTCAGATTCCCCAAGCAAGTTGGCAGCAGGTTCACCATCCCGCTGTTTCTGGCTCGAGCTTTCATTTGCGATCAGGGGCGAGCCTGAACACGCCCATGCACCAACAAGCATGTTTGACCGTTTTGCGAACACGTCTCATAGAGAGCCATAACTCTGTCGTTTGTTCTTCTCAACACGGGGTTGCAAGGCACCCAGCAGCTAACTACAGCTGAACGTTTTGCTTGAAGGATTATCTGCTTTGACCTCGCACCGCGGCAGCTTCGTAGCCATGAACAAGGCGCTCCGTAAAGTGTATGACCAGATCCCATGTGAGCAGCGCTAACTTCCCCATTCGCCACCTTTGCCAGGAAGGTTCTGCTATCTGGTTTTACGAGGCTATAGTGCTTATATAGACCTGTATCACCATCTTAGTTGAACCAAAAGTCGGCTTGGGTTTTGAAAGCTGCTCATGTCAGTTGCGAGACTCCCGCTGAATATGTTTGTAGAATGGGGGGATCCCAAGAATGGCAGTTGACTTAACCCAAAAGGTGACCCAGGAAAGTCACCCATGACTCCGGTGAGGCACGTGCAATGCTGGACGCCCTCATGGGCCTCTGCCTTGGCGAAGCACCAGCAAGACACAAACACAGCCGCGGGGTGTGTCTGAGGGCAGGGTAGCCCTCAACTTTCGGGGCTTCGACGGGAAGACCAGCATGGGGTTTCTTTTCTTCCGAGTCTTGAGCCATTGGGCTTCCGGAATTGTTGAACGTGTCGCTGAAAGGCTTGAGGTGAACCTTGATCCGGGCTCTTTTCGGGAGGGATTGGCGACTTGCCATGCAGGCTCTGCAGCTGCATTTTTTGAGGAGGCATGCAGTTTTTTGGGGCCCAGACGCTTCCTTTCCACTTCTGCCTTCTGCTGGCTCACCGCATGTCACCAGTCGGAGGGCATGAGAATCATGGGATCCGCATGATTTTTTATGCAAACCAGTCCTGGTTTGGCAAGCTTTGGGCTGGTCCTTTCTGCAGGCCCGCAGCGGAATGTGAAGAAGGATGAACATGCAGAGGATTGGAAGGTGCGCTGCCTGGTTCAAGTGACCTCGTGGAAACGCAGGCGCTTTTGCACTTTGGCGGTTGATTGTCCCATTTCCGTATCTTGCTTTGACAGTTGCAAAGGCATTTTGCTTGACAGTTGCACAAGTCAGCCTGAGTGGATGTCAGCTCAGTTGGAATGGCCAGGACAAAAGCATTTGCAAGGGCATCTCAGCCGCATCACTGGTAGCTTGCAGAAGGATTCGACAGGAGTGGCGTGTCAAGTGCAAGGCCAGGAATGTAGGCAGGGTTTGACACATTCGGACCAAACCGGCTTCTTTTGCACGCACGAAAAGTCAAGCCCGATACCCTGAAGAAGGCGTCCGTGACAAAGCTCGCCATTGCAGTGCGCGCGGCTTTTCTGTGCTTCAGGCTTTCTTGTGGGATTCTGCCCATTCGACAAGGCAGGGCTTTTGCAAGCAACTCGATTGAGCAGTCACGGTTTGCTCGGCCTCCGGAATGTCGCATGCGACCGGTGGGTATTTAGGCAGTTTCTTGCTGGGTGCCCAGTTGGCTACTCGAAATCCATTGCGCACAACCCAAGAACCCTGGAATCATGATTCCCCTGTAAATACCAACAAGCAATGGTTTCAACCATGAAGGATTTCATCCATCCACAGTATTTTTGTCGTTTTGGGTGCAACAAACCCATGAAAAGAGTTGGGGGGGGGTCGTCTCAGCTTGTGCCAGTCCGTGGTCGGCGGCAAGCGGACACTCTCGGTGTGCGACAAGATCCACTCGGAGGACAGCTGTGTTTGATGTGCCTACGCGGTCTTGCTTGTTGCT